ATGGTACTGCAATTGGGTCTAAAACTCTTCTTTCCCCTATTTCATCCCAGAATATTGGTGATCGACATTTCCTTCCATAAAGAACTTGTGACGGCCCCACCTCCCCCCTAGGGCGTACCCTAGGGTTTAGTGAATCGTCTGCCCAACTCTCGTCAGGACTCACTCACTCACATCAAATAAAATAGGGTGCAACCTTAATAATAAACGAAATAACAGTTCCCAAGTTTGGGACATACAAATACATTCATTTCTATCTTAACTATCCATACAATCCCAAATACATCAAAAGATTAGAGTTCTATCTAAACAAGAAGAAATATAGCTGAACAATTCAAAACTCTAACTCACAAATTCTCCATAATCATAAAAACTAGTTGCATAACTATCAATTAACCAACTTAAGTTATGTAGCAACTTAAGCAAGATTATGTAGCAACTTAAGCAAGATTAAGGGAAATAAGGATGATGGACAGCCAATATACCTCACTAAGATGCTTGTAAGAGATATCCACCACCTCTCCTTGTACAGTTTTAGCACACCAAGCTTCCCAAGTACTCAAAGAAAGGATTACTCGGTTTAGTTTCTTGATTTTCACTAAAGCTAAGCTAAAATCCCAAGATGAAATGAAGTTCTCTCCTCTTGTTTTTCTCCCTCAATATCTCGGCCAGCATAGTTGAAAATGAAGAGGAATGAAGGCCAAGAAAGGTTATAAGATTTAGTCCTAGTTTGGGTCAAAGATGCATGGATTGCTTCCACTTGTCACCACCAATTTACATCTAAATTTTTCTTCTTTTCTCTTGGTTTTTGAAGTCAACATTTTCGGCCACCTTGATCAGATTTAGAACTAATATTTAGGCTTTAATAACAATGAGATTAACTTGATAAAATGGTGGTCAAATGGTGTGTTCAATCGGTAGTGAACGGTACTCGTCGGTTCACACCGTTTTTCCTTAATTCGCACGTACTAGGATTTTCACTTATAATTCACTAACTTATTATTCTTATTTCTAATTATCCATTTAATATCATCTAAAATTCACTCTTAATCACCCTCTTAATCACCAAATTGAATACACACCCCGTACCGATTACTCATACTACAAAAGACGTAAAAACCCTAGTTTATCGTAACGATGAAAGTAAAAGGAAACCCTTGTTTTTATGATTATTTGTAGCTATTGGAGAAGTGAATGTGTATTAAAGTTATTGTAAAGTAACAAATTCCAAATTAAAGAAAATTTTAAGAAAAATATAAGGAATTTTACGATTCCATAGATTAAAATTAGGATTTCGACTAAAATATGAGAGATTTAAGAAAACCTATTAGTCACAAGTAAAACTAGAGTTTTGAGTACAAGTAGGGTTTCTAATATTTAAAACAAAACAATGTCTTAAAACAAAAATAAAATTGAGAAACCGTAATATCCTAAAAGTCAGGGTATCACAGAGTTTCATACGGTGCCATTTATATAGAAGAATGGTAGCTATTATTGTATGCAAATTCAACTAACGCCATGTATTGTCCCTAATTTCCACCAAAATCCAAAATACAGGTCCACAACATGTTTTCAAGTGTTTGAATGGTTCTCTCCGACTGTTCATCAGTTTGGGGATGGTAAGTGGTACTAAAATTCAACTTGGTTCCCAAGGCTCATTGTAATTGTTGCCAGAAACGAGACACAAACCGCAGATCTCTGTCAGAAACAATGCTCACTGGGATCCCGTGTAATCTCACTATCTCGTCCATGTACAGTTGGGCCAATTTCTCCAAAGAGTATCTCATATTTATAGGTAAGAAATGAGCAGACTTGGTTAACCTGTCTACTATTACCCAAACGGCGTCGTGACCTTTTTGGGTATGGGGTAACCCTGATACAAAATCCATCGTAATATGTTCCCATTTCCACTCAGGGATTTCAAGAAGCTGTAGAAGACCTGAGGGTTTCTGATGTTCAGTTTTCACTTGTTGGCACACCAAACACTTTTGGACGAACTGAGCAATTTCCTTCTTCATTTTATCCCATCAATACAATCTCCTCAAATCTTGGTACATCTTACTGCTTCTAGGATGTACTGTATATTTAGACGGATGTGCCTCTTCCAAAATATTCCTTTTTATCACTTCATCTTGCGGTACCACTATCCGATCACGAAATTTCAAGATACCCTTGGAACTCACATTAAAGTCTGAGATTTCCCATTTTTTACACTTTTTCTACCCATTTTTTGCACCATCTGATCATTCTTCCGAGTTTCTTTAATTCGGTCCAACAAATCAGATCTTATCGTAATATTGCCCAAAATCACTCTATGCCGGTCCAATCGTAGGTTCCATTCACTCATCTCTTCTAACAAATTCCACTCCTTAACCATTAATCTAGCTACTTGCACTTTTCGACTTAAAGCATCCGCTACAACATTGGCCTTCTCGGGGTGGTAGTTGATTGTATAGTCATAATTCTCAAGAAATTCTACCAACCGACGTTGATGAGCAACCCTAGGGGAAGACCCTCTTAGACCCTCCCAACCTTGTAATTATCAGAGTTGGATCTTTTCTCCCAATGGAAATTGAACTCGATTGTTCTCATGAACTCAAGACGTCTGACACACGAAGGTAGTCAGCAACCTTAAGCAAATAAAGATGGATGAAGAGACACCACGATTAGGGAACAAACTAATCGATAAAGTCTGATTTGAATCCTAAGCTATGAACTCAAGAATTCAAGAGTAAGTTCGATTAAGAATTTGAAGGAAAATTCCTCATGATTTCTAGTTGTAATAATCTCTGTCTTTTCACGCATACAATAGGTGCCTTTTATAGGCTAAAATTAGGGCAAATCTGGCCCAAATAAACCTGGACTAGGAATTCGGTCGCATAAAGAGCCAGCTCTTTAAGGCTTCCCGATAAGGCCCAATAAGTAATAAAATACTCAACGACTAACAACTACTAAACTAGATAGTCTTAAAACAACTACCAACTAAACTAACAAGTATGAGATCATTCCTTCACTTCAAACGTACAAGTGAACAAAGTAAAGTCATGGTCCATCAAATCTTCAAACCTAGCTTGCTCCTTGCTTGTATGGTGAATGATTAAGGCTCGTAAAACTTCTTTCACCTTCTTGGTTCTTGATCTTGTCATCGGACCACCAATGTTGATCAAAGGATTCTTGACCCAAGGCTGAAGTTATTTATTGCACACCCGTATCCGTATCATTCCCTCTTTCCTCGAAAAGATTCGTTCTCGAATCTTCAAAGTCTCCTCTTGAAAGTGATTTGTCCACAAATCGATGGTGTGCTTAAAGGACAGCAATGTTGGAAATAGATGAATGACTACGAGCCATGTTGCATGTCATTTGGTCAGCTTCGGGAAGCTCTCAAACAAGGACATACGCCAAGGTAGGAAAGAGCTTGTGTAAGGCGTGTGAAAATCCCAAGTGACAATCCAAAACTCTCTTATTAGCCTTTGGTCATGAATCTTCACATTGACACCTTGATTGTACAAAGGTGTAAAATCCAGCACTAGTTGACATTGATTTGAATCATCTTGCATGGATAAATTGAAAGCAAGTTGTTGCACGGATGAGGCACTAAACAACTCGTGGAGGACAGCTTTGGGATCTTGCGTGACACACAATTTCTCATCAGCTTTAGTTGCAATAAGCACGAAATCAGGTTGTAAGTCTTTAATCAAAACTGAAAAATTTTGGACAGCTTTACAACCTACAAAAACAAAATAACCTTCAACTTGAAACAAATTAGAAATTGGGTAAAGAAGTAATGGTACATCATCAACTAAATGGTAAGAAGGTATATAACAAGTTTTAAGTGTGAATACTCCCTTTGCCACTTCATTATTCCTTCCACCAATTGATTCAACTTGAGAAGGCATTGCTAGCCTTTTACACTTTCCTTCAAAATCTGCATCAGAAATACAAGTGTTAGGATGGAAATTATACTCAAAAGATGGTAAAGATGATGAATGAACCATAGGTAGTAAATAAGAGTCAAAGTTTGGAATTCTCCCTTCATGGTTGGTTTGAATTGATTCCCCTTTGATATGGACAGATTTGAATTGAAATTGTTCCATGAGGTGATCCCAAATAGATTTAATTCCTAGAAGACAAACTCCATGGAAACTAGTGAATTGTACAAGTGACTTTGGAATGGAGCATGGCATGATTAACTTCAATTGACTTTGCTTAATCTGCACAAATGAAGAAACACTAAATAAAGCAAAGGTAAGTTCGTTAGAAAAATAATAAGCCCTCACATTTTTGCTCAAAATCAACTCACTTTCTCTTTTTTCTTCCTTTTTACCACTCATCTCATCAGATTTTTCCATCTCTTTATCTAGCTTAACGCTCTCAATTGTTTTCTCATTATCAACCTTCTCAACAAATGGTTCAATAGGATGAAATACTCCTTTGTTGGGAATAGGGTCAGCTACCTCCTTCTTAGAAAACTCACTTTGATAGCATCCATTTGACTCCATTTGTTTTTGGTGTAGAAGACGTTGATATGTCTCCCAAAATGACTCCGCATGAGGTGGTTCAACTCTAAGTTTAGTCCTAGAAAATGTTGAATGAACTTTCTTGTCATCTCTTGTATAAACCGGCTTTAAAGAGGTAGATTGCATGGAACCCCTCCTCTTGAGAGATTCGTTCTCTCGTTGGAGCCGATCGTACAAGTCCGTAGTATAATGGGAGGGTACAAATCATTTTCTCATCACTTGCTTCATTTCAGTCCAAGTGTCAATCGGTTGTTCCCTATTTCTCCTCCTTGTGGCACATACTTGCTCCCACCAAATAGATGCATAATCTTGAAATTCAATAGCTGCAAGTTTCACCTTTTTCTCTTCAGAGTAGTTGTGGACTTCAAACACTTGCTCAACTCGTCTAACCCAATCCAAGTAAGATTTAGGATCATTTTTCCCATGAAAGGTAGGCATCTTGGTCTTGATGGAACCAAGATTGTCATCGGTTCTCCTAGGTCGGTCTCAACCTTCCCTCGTTTCCCTGTGGTTTTTCCTTGATCGGAATGAGGTGTTAGAATGATACCCCTCATCATCTGCATCATGCTCAACACTCTGAGCACTTGAAGCCCTATTGAGAATATCTCCAGTACCTCGCATCTCAATGGCAGCCACCCTATCGGATAGTTGTGTCACCACAAATTCAAGCCTCCCCGCTTGTTTTTGGAGAGTTTGGAGCACCAATTTGAGTGACACGTCGGTCTCAGACGGCTCGACCATGTTCCCCTCTTGAGACATATTGTCAAACCTGCAAAACAAATGTATCCTAGTCTACCTTGCAAAGCACTCAAGGAAAACATACTCACTCTCAATTTTTCTTCTCAAAGTTCTTAAAATAACTCAAACTCTAAAAAATTCCAGAATTAATTACCCTATAAGCAAGTAACAAGACACAAAGCAGAATTTTTGAGACACAAAGCAGAATTTTGCAAATCTTCGAAAAACTCTACCTGAAGCTTTTTTTTTTTTTTTTTAGCTGCTGTTTTTTTTTTTGCTGAGTTTCTGGTTAGTATTGGGATGGTAAATGGTGTTTGTGGCGGTTTAGATTTGGTTTTGGAAACTGATTTAGGGTTGGTTAGGTCGTTTAGGGTTGTTGGAATTCAATTAAGGTTGGAGACTCAAGAATTGGAGACCAATCAAGATTTGGAAACTCAAGTTTTGGAAAACCAATCAAGATTTGGAGACTATTCAAGAATTGGAAACCAATCAATAATTGGAAACTCAAAATTTGGAAAACTTGATTTCCTTTGTGTGAGAGCCGATTCCTTCTCTTCTTCCCCTTTTTTTTTCGTTCTCCTCTTTTTTTTTGTTTTCCTTTTTTTTTTTGTTTCGGCTCTTCAAGGAACACGAATTCAGATCACACCAACAAGTTCAAGAAAAAAGGATGAAAGGTTATGCAAATTCCAAGAAGACGCTAGTTCTTGATTTATTGTTCAAGACTTTCAAAACAAAATTTGGTGGTCCAAGAACTTCAAGAATTTGTTCAAGAAACTCAAGAACTTCCCCAAATTATGTTGTGGTGTTTAGGGTTTGCAAGAATAACAACCAATACTCAAGAAATAGGCAAAACAGAATTTCAGCAAGACTCAAAAGAAAATTTCCAGCAATACTCTAGCAACTTGGACACTAAAACAATATAAGGTACGTGACTCTTTTTTTTTTTTTTTTTTCTTTAAACCCTTACAAGTATTGTCTTTAAACCCTAACAACCCAAATACAAGTATAACAGAACCAAGAACTTGGACAGAAAACACAAAAAGACAATACCCAAACAGATTTTTTTTTGACTCAGATGAACAGTAACGTGAACAGTACGCCACAGTACGATGAACAGTAATCGGTACAGTAACGATGAACAGTAATCGCTACAGTATTTTTTTTTTTTGACAAAAGACACAAACTAACAAGATATGAACAACTTCAATTAAAAGAGAATTAACCTGATGCTCTGATTACCAACTGATGAGCAACCCTAGGGGAAGACCCTCCTAGACCCTCCCAACCTTGTAATTATCAGAGTTGGATCTTTTCTCCCAATGGAAATTGAACTCGATTGTTCTCATGAACTCAAGACCTCTGACACACGAAGGTATTCAGCAACCTTAAGCAAATAAAGATGGATGAAGAGACACCACGATTAGGGAACAAACTAATCGATAAAGTCTGATTTGAATCCTAAGCTATGAACTCAAGAATTCAAGAGTAAGTTCGATTAAGAACTTGAAGGAAAATTCCTCACGATTTCTGGTTGTAATAATCTCTGTCTTTTCACGCATACAATAGGTGCCTTTTATAGGCTAAAACTAGGGCAAATCCGGCCCAAATAAACCTGAACTAGGAATTCGGTCGCATAAAGAGCCAGCTCTTTAAGGCTTCTCGATAAGGCCCAATAAGTAATAAAATACTTAACGACTAACAACTACTAAACTAGACAGTCTTAAAACAACTACCAACTAAACTAACAAGTATGAGATCATTCCTTCACTTCAAACGTACAAGTGAACAAAGTAACGTCATGGTCCATCAAATCTTCAAACCTAACTTGCTCCTTGCTTGTATGGTGAATGATCAAGGCTCGTAAAACTTCCTTCACCTTCTTGGTTCTTGATCTTGTTATCGGACCACCAATGTTGATCAAAGGATTCTTGACCCAAGGCTGAAGTTATTTATTGCACACCCGTATCCGTATCAGACGTTGTCTCAAATTTAACTCCTTCTGTGAGAATAGGTATTTCAAACTCTTATGGTTAGTATAAACTTCAAAAGTCACCCCATATAAGTAATGTCTCCACTTCTTTAGGGCAAAAACTACAGCGGCAAGCTCCAAATCATGAGTCGAGTAATTTCGCTCATGGGGTTTTAACTTCCTAGATGCATAGGCAATTACACTCTCATTTGGCATTAGAACACATCCCAATCCTTCTCTTGAGGCGTCAGTATATACAGTGAAACTATCTTTCCCATTTGGCAAGGCTAAGACGGGTGCCGACGTTAACCGTTTCTTTTATTTTCGGAAACTAGCTTCACACTTAGAATCCTAGACAAATTGACCATGCTTTTTCGTCAGGTCGGTTAAAGGTCCTGCCAATTTGGAGAAATGTTTGATGAACCGACGGTAATATCCAGCTAAACCTAAGAAACTACGAACCTCAGTTGGAGTTTCTGGCCGTTTCCACTCAGATACGGTCTCTACTTTCACTGGATCCACAAAAATGCCATCTTTAGATATTATATGCCCTAGAAAAGAAATTTGTTCCAACCAAAATTCACACTTGCTAAATTTGGCATATAACTGATGTTCTCTTAAAGTCTGCAAAACTATCCTCAACTGCCCTTCGTGATCCTCTCGAGTCTTAGAATACACCAAGATATCATCTATGAACACCACGACAAATTGGTCTAAGTAGGATTTAAAGACTCGATGCATCAAATCCATAAATGCAGCAGGAGCATTTGTTAGACCAAAAGGCATCACTGCAAACTCAAAATGCCCATATCTAGAATTAAAAGCAGTTTTCGGTTTGTCCTCCTGCTTAATTCGTAACTGATAATAACCTTGTCTCAAGTCCAACTTAGAGAAAATCACCATTCCTTGCAACTGATCAAACAACTCATCAATGTGCGGCAAAGGATATTTATTTTTCATCGTAACATCATTTAATCCACGATAGTTAATATACAGTCTCAAACTGCCATCCTTCTTTTTAACAAATAGGATAGGTGCTCCCCAAGGTGATTCACTTTCTCGAATAAACCCTCGTTCTAACAAGTCCTGTAATTGCAGTTTTAGTTCCATAAGTTCGGCAGGGGCCATTCGGTATGGTGTTTTTGCAATAGGAGCGGTTCCAGGCACCAAATCGATCTTAAATTCTATTTCTCTCTCTGGTGGCATCGACTTCAACTCGTCAGGGAAGACATCGAAAAATTCATTCACTACTAACACATCTTCTAGTTTCACCTTATCTGCAGGAGTATTAATTAAGAAAGCTAATTAACCATGTGCCCCTTTACTCAATAATTTCCTGGCTTGAATTCCTGAAACAAGTGCAGACGAGACTAATTTACCTCTCGCATCCAGTCTTAGAGTTGCCTCTTCGGATATAGAGAACTCCACCACTTTAGTTTTACAATTCAACTGCGCATTATAATGGGCCAACCAATCCATGCCTATAACCACGTCATACCCCTTGAGATCTAGACTTATCAGATCTACCACCAACTTCCGTTTTCTTACCCAAATCTCACAATTTTTATAGACCATATTGGTAATTAGGCTTTGATCCCTAGTAGGTTTTCTAACTTCCAAGTCATAGGGCAATGTAACAGGACTTATATCAATACCACACATAAAGGCAGGATTTATAAAAGAATGGGTTGCCCTTAGATCAATTAAAAACTTCGCTAAGTTGTGGAATACGGGGATCGTACCTTCCACTACTTCTGACAATTCAGGAACTCGTTGGTGGTCCAAAGCAAAAACCCTAGTAGAGGTTTTGGATGTACTTCCACTGGCGGTAAGTTGCTTAAAGTTTGATTTCTCTAGCTGTACACCCTCATTCCCCTCACGGTTCTTAACAGGACAAGTAGCGAGCTGATGTTCAGAACTTCCGCAATGGAGATATTTCCTCATTTTTCACCAGTAAGCGTCCTCGGTGTGGTTTGCCTTACCACAATATCCACAGCTTGCGCGAGGCGTGGGTGCAGGAACTCCTTGGGAGGCAGTCCTTTGTTGGCCCCTTCCACTTTGAACCCCTCTAGATGGAGCTCCTCTCGATGTCCCAGCAATCCCGTACCCCTCCCAAATTTAGAAGGCGGGACATGTTGATCGCCTCGCTCTGGAGCACTGCTAGATACGCCACGTCTCTTGGCTTGAAAGGTCCAAACTTAGAATTGGGTCTGCTCCACTAGTTGAGCTTTCTCGAGGGCATCTTTAAATGTATCGATTTGTGTTGCAGCTAAGTCCTTTTGAATCTCCACATTCAAACCTTGTACAGACCGTCTTATGCACTTTTGCCCATTAACCACCAGTTCTGGAGCAAATTTGGAAAGTCGGGTGAACTGGGTCTCATATTCTACTACACTCGAAGTACCCTGGCGCAGTTTGATAAATTCATCCACTTTTTTTTCCTGTATTAAGGGTGGAAGGAACTTCTCATTGAATTCCCTAGAAAGTTTAACTAAGTACGTGGCGTTTGCTCCATGTCCCACTTTGCCCTCACTACGTTCCACCAGGAACGGGCTGCGCCTTCCAACTGGAAAACTGCGAAGGTCACTTGTCTCTCTTCAGTGTAATGTAACGAGCGAATATATCCTCCATTTGCTCAAACCAGTTCTCGGCAATTTCGGGATTGGGTCCCCCAAGAAATTTTGGAGGAGCGAACTTTTGGAACCGTTCCAGGGCCCTATCTTCACCTACTTTGGGGTCCCTGTGCTGGTTACCAGGTACTTAACCTTGCTAGTCAACCAAACGGGCCAGTAAATTAGTCATTCGATTGATAGCTGTAGCCACCTGGTCCCCTCCTTTAGCTCTGGGTCCCGGGTTCTGGCTTGCTACAGAACCTTGTTCCTCCTATTGGTCCTGAACCTGCCTAGATCCACGCTCACGGCTCCAACCACGTTGTCGTCTAGTCTCCATTATTACTCACTGGTCTAGTTACAACTAACGGGGTAAGCAAATATGGGTATATAATAGATATTCATTCATAATCGAAAGTCAAAGAGAAAAAAATGAAGTCGAAATCATGAAGTAAGGGAAAGCACAAAGTAGTTAAATGCCAATTCGAAATAAAGTCAAGTCAAAGTCAAAGTCAAAAGTTAAAAGTCAAAGTATTATACATTCAAAGGCTCATAGCAATTATTTACAAGCTAACAAGACCAGAAGTATCAAGTACGAGCCTCAATAATACAGGCACAGTTCATCAAGTCATATCATGCACAAGCCAGTGTACGCGGTCAAAAGAGAACTGTACAACCACCAAGTCACCACATCCTCTATCCTTTCTATGTACAATGGTCAAAATCATCCACAATAGTAACCTAGAAGTGAAGACCTAATTTGCTGCGGGACTAGTTGACCCCCCATCCTGGGCAGGTTCAGCTCCTGCCTTGCCTCAAACGTGGGAAGCCGCATCATCGCTCACATCTCCAAGTAGGCCATCACAAATGTTCAGGATCGACTCGGCTCTAGTCCTCACCTTCATAGCTCTCGTAACCATGCGCTCGTGAGCTTCCCCCAACTGCGCGCAAAGATCATCAATCATTTCCTAGCCTTCGACCATATCATACTCGAGCTCCTTAATCAGCTCGGCTTGCATTTTATTAGTTTACTTTACTTGAATCACTTCAGTTTGAATCCTAGCATTGTCCCTCGCTACGGCCTCCCTTTCCTCTACCACGGCCAAAACTACGGTATTAAGATAGGCATAAGTATGGCGGCACTCGCAACGTCAAAAACGATTGGCTGGACTCCAGCGTATGGTAGCACCTCCGAGCCTAATCTGGTACTTAATCATTGGGAGTACTCCATGGGGTAGCTCGCCAACTAGACTATCACTAAGGCCACTATGTCCATCCATCCTACACAAGTGTAGAGAAAACTTAAGTACTCTTAAGGGGACATAATCAAATATAATTCTCAAGTCAAAAATTCCTAACATGCCCAGGCCAATTCAAACCTAGGCTCTGATACCACCTGTGACAGCCCCACCTTACCATAGGGCAAACCCTACGGTATCAGCGGACTGCCTGCCCAACTCTCGCCGGGACTCGGTCGATCAAAGAACTAGCAACTCAAGACAACTAGAGAAATAGCTTCAAATCATGAGCGTACAAACCCTAATGGCATATAATCATCAAGTCAACTTTCCAAACTTAGAATGTCAATCTAAAAATCAAACTTACCACTCCACACTACAATTACATAACATAAGTCAAACTTATGAATTCAAGCTTACAGGAGTTAAAAGTAAAGTTAACTAAGCAAAAGGTTACAACTCGAAGTTCCAGTTCAAGCAAAAGATAAAGTTTTGAAAGTTCTTGCCCCTATGTCCATCCCACATCTGTTAAGGAAAACAAAGGGAGTGGGGTGAGCTAAAGCTTAGTGAGGTTCCAAATAAATAGATACGTACATAGCCAGATAAAGATGTAAGGTAAACAAGTAAACACAGTATTGTACTACAACAATGTAATCACGATTCAATTCAAGGATACGGGTGGCTTCCAAAAGCTAAATCCACTTGAGCTTGATCATACAAGAATCCGTTGACTCTCCGTCAATGTTTGCATTTAAAGAATGCAATGTTCGTAGAGCTCCACTTTCTCCAATTTTCGTCCACCAATCAATCCCCTTACCGGGCCCGAACTCCTCAAACAGTAAGTAGGTAATACTCGAGTATACCATTTTCCAGTTTCAGTAAACAGTCCTTAAGGTTTGTCTGCTTTCTCGACCAAATTCTTGCTGGCTCGATATGACCGACTCACCTATGAGGTTGGGTACCCAAACAGTGGCGGTAGTTGATAGGATATCAACCAAATCAACTCAAACATAGTCATATATAGAGAAATCACATCTCATAATAGCAGTATATAGAGTCTCAGTGGAATCGTGGGAGGTTGAGTGTGATAAAGTACACACTCGCCTCAATATTTATCAAAACAATGTTGGCTCAAGCAGTCACCAATAAAGTACACAGATATTTCATATAGACAGTTAACAGGTAATGGAACATTCATCTATCAAGTAATAAAGTGTTCAAACATCAAGTCCCTCGATTACGTTCACCACCGTTTCCCAATCTTATAGCAACGAGTGAAATCGTTAGCAAACTTGGTTCAATTCCAAACCAAAAGTGAGCTCATTAGGTGACCAAGTGAATGGTTAAATCTACTCAATTAACCATGCAAGTTAGGCCCAAAATGCAGTAAAAGTTCATGAGAAAACAAGTTTGACAAGTGCAAGAAAGTTGAGCAAAAGAAAAGTTTCATTCAAGTTCAAAGTTTTCTTCGCGGGTAGAATAGTCGCACCCGCGCAGTCTCGGGAAAATTGCTATATCTCAGTGTAGGAAGGTTGGAAACAGGTGCTGTCAGCGGCATTGGAAACTAGACAGACAGGAATTTTAACGGTACCAAATACACACTTTAGTTTGTCTTCTATCAGTACTAGTAGCTCGAACAAATTGGCTGATTTTCAAATCCTGCTCAGCCCTAAAACCCTAGAAAAATTACACTAGTTCTTGATGTTAACTTCACTTGTTTTGGCTCAAATTCATCCAATTCAATATCCTATGGTTCATATACAGGGGAGAAAGTTATCTAGTACCATTGGAGCTCAAAAATGCAATACACAACAATGATTAAAAGAACCATAACAGTCTAGTCATTAAAAGGAACCAAAACAGTCCACTAATGGTCCAAACAACCACTTTACTTGCTTAAATTCCATATTAATTCACACCAAACCTTGAACCAATGTTTAGCCAAGATTCTTAGGCTTAAATAAGGTGCAAAAGAATCACAAAATCAGGGAGAAACCTCCCACTTCAAAGCCGGTCAGCCAAGGAAGACAAAACAGTCCACTAGTTCTTTTATCTCACCAACCTTCACCCTTACATGGTAGTTAACTTAAACATCATGTCAAGTGTTGTCTCTAACTCAAAAAGGTCCCAAACATTTTAATACATGAAGGAAAGCTATGAACAAAACTCAAACATTTCATCAAACACATGATAGACAAACTAACTAACCCTACGACCACTTGTTTAGTTCAAGAGTTTTCACCACAAACAACATCCATGCTACCTCTAGTTTGCCCTCAAACCTTTAAATACTTGGTACAACACCATAAAACCAAAGATTAAGGATCACATACCTCTCTTGTAAGACGCTTGAGTCACCCAAAACAACCACTAAACCAAAAGCTTCAAGCTTGAAAACACACTCTAGGGTTGAAGGCCAATCACTCACCAACTCAAGCTCTTGGTCCTATGATTTTTGTTCAAGATCAAACTAAGGTTGGAATAGCAAGAAGATGGAGTTTTCTTCCTTCCTTGAAAAGCTTCAAGATGGCCGAATTTTTGGAGGAAAAAAATGAAGAAAAGTTGGTTTAAAATTCCTCTAATCCTTTGGTCAAACAAGGTGGATGGCTAGGGTTTTGCCACTTGGCCCAATCTTGACTCTTTCATCCCTTAATCTTTGACTAATGATGCTTCTACCCTTCCAAATGTACCAATACCTATTTAACACCTCTAAATTATTATATAAAGTCCCTACCACTAATAAAAGGACACTTGGTCAAAGTGTGTGTGGTGAAATAAAATGAAACCAACTCAAGGAAATTTTACAATCCAAATAAGAATAATAAAGTGCAATGTAAAGAAATGTTATAATGCATGTAAAATGCAATATAAGGACATGTTATATGTGATTTAAATCTTAGGGCAAGACATGTAATTTAGAAAAATTGTGTTTTAAAGTGAGGGTTCTCACACCCTGATTTTTGGTTAAGCCTGTGATATAATCATGCAAATTTACAACAAATGAATTGCTTAGTGTAACATCAACACAAACAAGAGAGAACACTTGTAGTTATTTTCCTAGTCGGTGTAATAACTTTATTTAACAAATTTTTCTGCA